TGGCGGCCGCCGCTGCTGCTGCTGCTCGCATCTGTTTGTCTGTGTCTATGAAAAACTCCCCACCCTTTTCAGCATTGATGCGGATTTCAGACTGGAGGAGCTCCACTGCCTCCTGGCATTCAGAAAGAAGGCGAAATCGGCAGCAAACGGAGTCTCTGATGCCACGCTCACGCCATGCCTCAAGCTTTCCCCATGGCTGCCAACTGTCAGGCCTGCAAGGATCAGGACTAACAATCATCCAAGCTCCTGGGTTGGACCTTGCAACCCAATCACAACCTGTTGATGGAACAAATGGAGTTGTTATAAAGGCTGCTGCAACAGCCGAGCCAGAGAGATCATGTATGGTCACCTTCCATCCCTTTCTCTCTCTTCTCTCTGATTCGAGATCAGGATTGTTAGCAGAACCTGACCAGTAAGTGCTCAATGGATCCACATGGGGAACCCTGTCAATTCATTAAACTATCAAAATCTTCATCGACACAAGGTGAAATGTAAAAGAGAAAACCAACTTGTCCATAGCAGGAGAGAATGAATACACGGTTTTTGCATGATACTAGAAAACCGCATCCAAAGTTCAGTGATAAAATTACGGACGCTATATACTGTATCCAACATATCTTGAATATTCGTTGATAAATTGAAATGTTTTGATTATTACTAAATTTATTATGTAGTTACATATACGCCTGGTTGATTCCTGACAAGGCGAATGTTAAAATTCAAATAGAAAAGAATACGGCTATTAAACATCTAACAGGGAAACAAGACCGACAGGGGACACGGAAAATGACTTTAAGACAAGCACAGTGAATGTTCAAAAAAGAAAACAACCATGACAATAATGTGACAATCTAATCAACCAAATGCTGATTCACACCTGAAGTTGTTGTACCTAACAATGGAAATTTAAAATGATGATTGCCTCTTGAAAATAATCCAGTCAAAACTATACAACTTGGGAAGCCTTATTCATCCAACAAGAATCTAGAACAAGCATAAATGTTTGACAAAAAATAAATTGTTCTTTGCAATCATTGTTATACTTGTCTTTTTGCTTTGCTTCTTTTAATTTTCTTGGTTTTTTTTTTTCTCAGGGATGCAATCCATACATAGTTTTCATGCATCAATTTGAATGTCCAAAAGAAGTGAGACTGGACAGCAGCCTTTTCAAAAGCATTAAACATTTAATGTAAGTTACAGAGATAACATAAATCACATCACCTGTCTCGGATGAACTTGCAACTGAAAATAGGCTGCTTAATGGAGCCTTGAAGCTGCACAACCTGAGGACTCAGTTTTGTGACATCGTCAAACTGGAATACATACCTTGGATCAGGATCCAATCTTACTCTCAAATGAAGCTCGGCACTCAATTTTCCACCCTCCTGCTTGTTTTTTCCGATACCTATCCACCCACTAAAGAGAACCACTGGCTTTCCTTCCCCCCATTCAGGACCAACCTCCAGCTTATATGTCCCAATTTGCTGCCTTTTGACCCCTACACCACAGTGGGACCCCTTCTTCCCTGTGAAAATAGCAATCTCCAGAAAGGCACGAGGACTGTAGAAACACCCAGGTTCCAGCAACGCTTTAATATCTGATTCTTCAAGGTAAAAACTTGAGGCAATGGTATGAGAATCAAGTGTAGCTTCAGGAGAGGATACTAAGGGGACTGACGCTGTCTGCATAGGGAATCCTCGAAGGCGAATTTCACACGAATATGGAGAAGAGAATGCATGAATCCCAGATTTTTCAGACTTCAACGCAGTTCCAGGAATCCTCAATCCCAGTGAGCTTATTGACAGCCTAATAAAAGTCTGAGGATCCATTCTGGTCACAAAAATTTCCCCATTATATCCAAAGCCATATTCTTGGACGGCCTGTGGCACCAGCAAAATAGTGACAATTTTTAGATCGCAAAATATTAAGTGATGAAATCTGATGGCATCATGTAACTAAAACTGAAAGGAAAGTAGAAAAAATCTTAACATCATGTAGTAAGTTAAAACACATACAAAAACGAATTTAGAAAAACCTATTTAAAATCAGACAAGTATATAATGAAAATTCAGTTGACTGCAGGGAAGGAATATGAAAGTTGTTATAGTGTTCGGTGTTAGAATATGGTAAACATTAAAAGAAAGACAGGTTTTTGGCCAGACGAGAAACAGGTTACACCATTAGTCTATTTAAATATACTCACATAGACAGTTCCTTGTGTACTCAGAGGCCTTTGCAATACACGATTTTTGTTGAAACTTTGAATTCCTTGATGATTTGTGTCCGAGCAGCAGCCTGTCAATCCACATGCCAATAACTACTTTAATATTTGAAGAACAAACAAGTGAAAAGAAGTGCCATTATGAATATAACAAAAAAGATCATATAATAGAGGCATAGGCCTGTGACTTTTACCCTTTCTAACCAGTTTCTCCACCATAATAAACTGAACCGATATGGAGAGAACCAGAGCCAGATATGAAAATTCAGTGGAGAACCACAAGTATTTAGACAAAAACATTGAAAGTGAACCAAGAGGACAATAAACAACACTTTAAGAACAGGAAAGGAAGATCCAAAACCACTGCCATAGTTCTAATCCTAACAAAGGTGAATAAGCCTGCCTATTCAGGGAGCTACACTGAGAAATACATCAAAGTTTCATACTGAGCAGAGATGCGGTCAACATTTCATTACAAGCTGTTGAAGCAGATGAAAAAGAAATGAGTTGAATTAATAAAAGGATTAAAATAGGTTAAAAATGATGGTAGTTCATTCCAAAGATTTCAAACATTTTCTT